GTCAAAGTTTTGGCGGGAAATCGTCAACTCAGGAAACAGAAAAACTAGAAAGCTGAAATTTTGAGGCTTTGTTCCCCGTCCATATGGAGCTTAAAGATTTCAAATTCAGTCCTTTGATTTGCGTGGTACCCGAGCATGGCCCCGTGAAGGTTCCTGACGCGAAAATCGCTAATTTGGGAACCAGGAAAGTTGGGAGGCTGAAATTTTTCAGGGATTGTTCTCAGCGCGTGTACAACTCTAAGTCATCGAACTCAGGCCACAAGAATGCGTAGTTCTCACGTACGGCCCCGTGAAATTTTTTGACGAGAAATTGGCTAACTCGGGAACCAGGAAAGTTAGGAGGCTGAAATTTTCAGGGGATTTTCTTAGCTCATGTACAACAAAAATTTGTCAGATTCAGTATTCAGGCGTTCGTGATTCTTTCGTTGGCCCCGTAAAATTTTTTGACGGAAAAATGGTTATTTCGGGAAATAGGAATGCTGGGAGCTGAAATTTTAAGGGTATGTTCCCAGCCTCCGTAAAAGTTAAAGATGTCAAATTCAGCTCCCAGATACGTGTGGCTCTCGTGTACGAACCCATGAAATTTTTTGGCAGGAGATTTGCTAACTCTAGAACGGGAGAATTTGGAAATCCCCGTCCAAGTACCGCGTAGACAATTAACTTCCCAAACTTCGAGAACCGGTGTGTCGCAAATCCTAGCTATCAAGTTTTCGAGCGATCTCATTAGAGCACGAAATGCTGCAAAAACGGATGATCGCACGGGCTGCCCGGTGCACGTCGCCAATGATTGTTTTAAAATTGCCTCGGTTGGATTTTTCCTGTAAGTAACTGGAAGAACAGCTGGGCAGCTAACAAAGTTGACAGCCCCACTTTTTGCTTTCTCTATACTTTCATTTATCTGGGAGGACAAAAGCTCTGCCAGGGCGAAGGCTATCAATTGTGGATAGGGTTTACGGTTGGTTACGAGAGTTGGCGTTAGGTGGTCTTCATCCATCTGTGTTAAGATTCCAGTCCTTTACAGTGCTATTCCAGTCCACTACTTGCGATAATGCTTCCAGAGATCTGCGAGGGCACTAGGTTTCGAGTTGTTTGCGAACAGGTGTCTTCTCGGTAGTCTAAAAAGAACGGCAGCTCTCGATCCTGCTACCATTTTGCTGGTGATTGAAAAGAGACCTTGACTGGAAGAAGTATGGATTCTGTTTCGCTTGAAACCGTGGACCAGGCAAGAAGTAAAATGAAAACTGTAATTTTGTTGTTGTTGACGCTTCGATAAGGCGTATTATTCCAGAGGTATAAATCCTCTTATATTTTTTGTGGTCAGGTCCGAATTTCATCCATTCTGTCATTTTTATGCGTTTTTGCTGTGCAGCGCTACAGCGCTGCTACAGCCAGCGAAAACGCATATTGTCGAGAGGCTGTGTGTGTGTCTGTGTGTTCGGGAAGCGAATGCATTTTGTCACACACTTTCAACACAGCAACCAGGAAAGCTGAGAGGCTCAAACTTTGGATATATGATATATATATATATGTTCCTACCTCGTGTTTTATTCACCCGTACCCCATACGCGCCTAGACCCCGCGTACGGAGCTCCCAAAGAAATATGTTGGCGGGAAACGATTTCGCGAACCAAGCAACGTAGAAAGCTGAAACTTTTGCAGAGGTACTCTCTATGCGCGCGCGAGATAAAAATTTTACACTCGTCTCTCCAGCTCCCCAACCACAGCCTCAAGTAGCTCCTCAATCCAAAAATCGTTAAAATGCGCTGCCACAGAAAACATCAGACTGTGGTCCATCACATGTTTAGCCGGGAAGGGAGGAGGGTGGGGGAGGTTGTGTAGACACTGGAATACTCCAGCGAATCGGTCAGTACACTCGTTTCTGTCTTCGTTGTTGAGGGCGATTGCAACTCAATCAGGGAATATGCGGCATCACATGCTTCCTTTTTTGCGAAGTTATGAGTTTGACTTAGTTCGGGCCATTGGGGAAAATAGAGTTATTTTAGTTTTTCATCTTGGATGCAAAAACTGCTTGTGTTTGCTATAAAAAGGAGGGAATTTATTGTACAAAGAGATCATTTGCAACAACAGTAAACAGCTAAATCAAAAAACAATGGATAACAACTTACTAACAACACAAAATATTCACGGATGATATCCAAAGAGTAATAGAGGACGTATTCACAGAGTAACAGAGAAAAGTAGTACATTCATGCATTTTTGCAATAAGCCGTTGCAGATTTAAAATGAAATAACGCGGTTGGAA